CCCCCACCAGCTCCTGGGATGTACGTCCACACCCAGCTGCCGGGCTGGCAGCACATCCACCAGCAGATACATGGTGGTGGCCCTTGGATAGGCAACCACTGGCTTTTCTGTGCCCAGATCAGTCTGAGATGCAAAGGGGAGCTTGGAGGGAGAAAGGACCCTGAGATAACCCTCAAAACGTGTCTTTTCTGCAGGAGGTGAATGACTGCTTCTTGGAGCTCTTCCAGTCTTACCTGTACTTCCAGTCTATGGGCCCCAACGGACTCACCTACCAGGTAGGGCATCTCCCGGGCCCACCGGGGCAAATCCCTTCCCGAGGATGCCAAGCTCCTGGGGGAATAGAGTATTTCTTCCTGAGGACTGTACCCAGACAACCTCAGTTCTTCATCTGCAGGGCAGAGAAAGAAGCACGTGGGAGAGGGCAGAGAATTTAAAAAAAACCCAACCCTGAGTGATCCTTGGGGAGCTATCCTGGCAAACCATTCATCAATCTTTTACCCTGATGATGCGCACAAATTGCAGTCAGTAAGCTGTTTTGCACAAGCAGCCAAAAAAACCAGAAGCAAACAAGCAGCAGCACTAAATGTGCTCTCCCTCTGTGTGAGTGGATATCTAAAACTGAGCATGGCTGGTTCGTACATGTTCGTAAAATTTGCTCCTTTTTGAAATGATTTCTTTTCTTCCAGGTAACTTGAGGTTAATGCAATACTCCAATATGATCTTGACTAATACAACAAGCCAGCTGTATTACTGACAAGACATGTGTACAAATAATATTATAAAATTTCCAATCTACTTTATAAACAGCTCCTTAGTTTATTAATTCTAGAGGAATTAGAAAGGAATTAGTGTGCTAGTGCTCTCCACTAGACATTACAGCGATTAGCTTTTTTTACAGTCCTCATTTAGGAAGCCCAAGACAGGGAGCACAGACTTGTCCTCCTTTCCTGTCCTTCGTTATAGTGGGACTCTGAAGAACTGGGGTATAGAAAGGGGACAGCTCAATTTTGCTTTATGGTCATTTCCATCTTCTGGCTTCCTTGCATTAAACCAGCACTATTTTGCTGAGGTTTCTCCTAAAACTGAAAGGCTTGGAAGCAGAGGAAGTATTCTTGCCAGCATGGCAGAGGATAACTGCAGTACCAGCCCAGGGAGCTGCTGGACCTGCTTCTTCTGGGCAGCATGCTGGATCCAAGTCCCAAATGCAGTCTAACGCTGAGGCACAGCTACCTGCTGGTGCCCAGTCTGGACTTGCGCTCTCCTACAGCAAAAGGGCATTAATTGCAGAGCCTCCCTGTGGGTTGCCCCCCAAAATAACGATATGTTCTTCTTATGCAGGGACTGCTGCCTTTAAAAGAGCTGAACGTGTGTGAAATCGAGAAGGGGAAGAGCGCCGGGCAGGAGGATCACGCTTTCCGCATTGCAGGTCGGTGCCTCTTTGTTCTGCTTTGAAGAGAGAGCAGAGGGTGCGTGAATCACGCCTGTCCCTGCTCCTTGTCCCGGAGAGGAACCACATTGTGGAAAGAGGTTGCAGAGAGATGAAGCTTGTCTGCAGCTTGGCTGGAGGCTTCTTTGGGTACAGTCACTGCTGAGTTACAGCAGTTGCAAGCCCCCAGATGTAGTAGCTAAAGCAAGCAGTATGCAGAAGTAAATAACCCTGTAACGACAGAGTCAAGAAAGTTCATTTGTGTCCCAGGCCCACTATCTGCGTGCTCTGGTGTCCTTGATTAGAGAGAAAGTTCTACAATGGCCCCTCAAACAACAAAAAAAAATTACATAAATTATAAAAAGGAGCTAGTGCAAACAACCCACTCGTCTTGAGGACTGGCAAGTTGTGGTCTTGTTACATCATGCTAGGCAGGGATCTCTAGCCCTTTCTGTGAGTCGGTAAAATGAAGGAAAACTTCTCCCCGATGTAACCTGTCAGGAGTGTCTGCACTGGGGTGGGTGGACTTGTTCTGCTTGTATTAAAACATGCAGGAGTGTGGCTGGGTGGAAAATTGCCTCAGGCTTTGCTGGGTTTGTGTCCTGCTTAGTGAAAGAGCAAACCAAAGGCTTTCTGACAGAGAGAGCTCTATATACCAGGAGGCAGTGACACCAAGAAACCAGAGAAATAGCGAGATTTAAGATTGCTGGGAGATCAGAGGAGCAATTTTATTTTTCTGCCAGAGCGGGAGAAATCGAGGCACGGAGGGGATAAGAGCCTTGTCCATGGCCTCACACGGGGTCAGGATGGAAATCTTTTGTCTCATGACTCTGAGACAAGACGACACACATCCAATCTCTTGTGAAATCCTGTGGTGTCAGTAGTTCCCCGTGCCCTGCCGCTTCCCAGGGTGGTTCAGTCTGTTGGAAGATGCCAGCATGGTCGTAAGAAGCCTGAAGGTGCGAACGGAGCCCAGCACCATGCAGAGTGCCTTGGTGCACCTCCACTGAGAAGTGGATGGCAACTGGCAGTCACCCTGGCTTTGCGGTCCATCTGATGCTCACCAAGGTGTTCAGCACCTCGAGTTACCTCTGCCTCACCTGTTGGCAGCTTTTTCATTTCTCCAGACAGAGAGACTTGGGTGGGAATAAACTGCGGCTCCTCCGGGAAGGGGCTTTCTTGCTTCCGATGTTCCTCTGGAAGCGTTTGCGTGGAAAGAGGAAGGATGGGGCAGAAGGAAAGAGCACGAGGGCCAGCACAGGTCGCTCAGCGTGGCTGTGTCATAGCCCCACCGCAAACGTGCCCTCGGGCGGAGGGAAGTGGCAAAGACCAAATTAGCAGCAGCTTTTCAGGCTCCGCTTCGCAGCAGCCCCAGCAGCTCCTTGCACGAGCTTCAGGCATGTTTCAGGCTTCAGGCTTAGACGTGCGTTTCTTTTCTCATTTTCTCGTCCTTTGGGGCCCTGCTTAGCTCTGGCGGCGCGAGCAGCCCTTGGGATACGTCTGGAAGCCTGGCCTGAGAGGAGGAGCAAGCAGTGCCATGACAAGGGTCACGCTCTAGCAGCAAAGTTCCTGCTGTTTTTGTGAGAGTCTGGATGCCTGGAGAAGGATTCAGAGCTGCTCAAACATCCAGATAACGCCAGCACCTTTATACCCTCCTAGCAACCCTGTAAAGTAGGGAATCTCTTTATCCCCATTGCAAAGATGGGGAAACTGAGGCAGGAGAACTCCAGAGCCACGTACAGACGGAGGTGTTTCAGAGTCTTAATTAACTGTTGCTTGTAAGCAAGGTAGGGATTATGGGATGAAGGCCTCCACAGAAGGGCAAAGTATCAAGCTTATCCAGTGCACTTGCTTATCTGAATACTTCCAAGTCCCACAAAGCCAGATCTTACTGAGCATGCACCAAATATGATTTAATATGACATCACTGGTAAATTATTAACCATAACATACGTTCTGCAGCCTGTCAGAAATGATTATTAACGTCACTAGGCTGTGTCTGTACTGAGAAGCAGAGGGCGTGTGAGATTTTTTTTTTTTGCTTGTGCTGCTCAGTAAATGATAGATGGAGACACTGAAATCAACAAGATATAGGGCTCTTCTTCCCTTCGAGAGGATGTCTGAGAGCAGCTTCAGCTTGTCTGGCACAGATTATATTTGGGGAAGCAATAAATAAACAGTGTCAGAGAGCTGCTGATGTTCTACATATTGAGTGCCAAAGTGAAACTAAGGAATAGCATGAGACTTTGGTGTGGAGTTCAGCTGATCTGCAGAGATGCTTTTCACAAGCTGTTGGGGGCTCTTAAAGCTGAAATCTGCCTCTTGATTCCAAGCTTGACTTTCATACTATCTTTGACTTTTTGTTCTTAGCCTGGTTTTTGGTCTGGTTTGGTGGACAGAGGTAGGTGTGGCTGCATGAGCAGGTGGTGAGAAGGAGCTGGAGCAGCTCCTGAGGTGAGACAACGTGCTCACGGTGGTGGTAGGAAGGACCAGAGCACGATGTCAACGGAGCAATGTGCTCACAGGCAGCCCGCGATGTGCAGAACAGCTCTGGCCAGCTGATTGCTTTTTGATGCTGCAGTCGGTGCCTTTATCTGCTCAGCTCATCTCATCTCACATACCTAGGTCCTCTGCTGAATCCCCTTATCGTGTTCTGCCCGACTGAGTCAGAGCTGAAGCAGTGGCTCTATCACCTGGAGAAACAGATCCAGCTGAACGGAGGAAGCCTTGCCTTGCCCTTTCTCTCTCAGGTCAGTGTCTCGGGATGGTGAGGTGCAGGGGAGCCAAGGGCTGAACAACCGGGGAAGCTGCAGCCGTTCTCCGAGTGCCCTGTGGGGCTCTGGGTGCCTCCTCTGGGCTCCAGAGCGCTGGGCATGGCTCTGGGTTCACTTCCAAATGTCTCACTCCATGTAGACGTACTAATTAGCCACTCCTGACAGACACATTCTTGCTCGGGAGCTCCTTTGCTTTTGGGGGAACCATGTGTTTGTGTTCACATGGTCTGTGCAACCAGCACCGGAGTGACTGTGGGATTTCAGCCTGAAAGGCAACCCCTCAGGTGTGCTGCACCGCTGAGACCTGGCAGCCGCTCGCTGCAGTTCTGCTGCGCGTGTCTGAGCACACGGCTTCTAATTTTGGAGCTTGTGTCCTGCGAGGGAAGGGTGCACAAAGAGAGCCTGGCAGGGCGTGTGCGCTGAAAGGGAGACCTGCGACCCAGAGGTGCCACCAAGCACAGCCCCTGGAGGGTCAGAGGTTTGGGTCTGGTTCAGAGAAGTTCTCACACAGTTGGCTGCTTGTGCAATTATCCAGAGTTTACAAAACACGTGGAGGAGGAGACTGGGGCCAGGGCCTAGAAAACAGGACCAGATTAAAGAGACCTGTCTTCTCTTGCAGTCTCTGCAGGGTGATTTATTTCCCTCCCTGTCTCCACCTCCCCCCTTGTAAAACAGATGATGCTAGGTACCAAGTATGATTATTCAGTCCCAGCTGAAAAACTGGCTCCTGCACAGATTTATTTATCCTTTTCTGCTTCTGCCACACTTGAAAAGTGTCCTGAGGTGGGAATGTGCTAGCTGAATTCTTGGGGGAGGACACGTCTACCCTGCTTCTCAATTCTCCTCCTGTCCCTAGGACGACTGGAAGCAGAGCTCCGTGGGGAAGGAGGAGCTGCGGTGGTCCGTGCAGAACATGCCTGTCCAGGACTGGAGAGGGACCCATCGGGAATCCCTAGGAGATGTCCTCTGTGTTTCCAAAGTGAAGCTTCAGCATCTGCCTTTCCAGGTAGGACATTTCTCTGGGGAGCAACCTCCTGCCTGCAGGGCTCAGGAAAGGCAATGGATGGAGTGACTAGTGCAGGTCCTGCCTACCTCCTGCCACTAATCCAGTGCTCTGATACGGGTCATTTAACTCACATCCTGGTAAATGGAAGGAGGTTTGTTACTGCTCCTGTGGCCCAGCAGCAGTGCTTGGGGACAGCACATCCCTAAGCACTTGCAGGGCAAGGCTGGCAGGTGGAGCGGGCAGGAATCTTCTGTGGAGCCCGTTGCAGGGAAGCAGCCTGGCTGTTTCCAGAGCCCTTGCCTCAGGCTGCTGTCCGAGAGATGAAGTGAAGGGCTCTGGGGATGTGAGCCCTGCCTGCCTGGTCACAGGGAACCCTCTTCCTCTTTACCTCCCCAGGAGCAGCACGACCGGCTGTTGGTGCTTTACCCGTCCACGCTGGTGATAGTATCTGAAGAGCGCAATGGCCTCTATTTTAAGGTAAGTTCATTTTGGAGCACCTTCCTGCCTTCTCTCACCCATCCGCAGCGGCTGTTTCAGCACTTCTTTGGCTTGTTGCTCCCTCCACCTGGGTTCCCTTGTGCTCCTCATGTTGGCAAGGGCTTCCCCTCCACGCTGTCCCCTTGCCAGCTGGCAGGTGAGCAGGCAGAGGGGTGTTGCGAGCTATCTTCCCATGAGAAACACCTTGCCCTCCTACAAAAGCCCCGGGGGGAAAGGAGCTGGCTGCCAAGGAATCCGAGTCTCTGGGAGGAGGGAGGCTGGCGTGTTTCTGTGTGGTTGTGCTGGCAGAGAGCCCGGCTCGCTTGCTTGAGACAGGAGCTGGAACAGCCCCAGAGAGTGCCCCTGCAGAGGCTTTGCTTCCCAGACCTTGTTTTGTGGGACACTTGGGAGCATCTGGGTGCTTGTGGGGAAGGGCAAAGGCAGGTAGTTGGCTGGAGGGCAGAGAGGAGAGGCTGCTGCTGGAGCCCTGAGCTTTCTGCTCTTTCCCCATGCGGGACAAAAGAGATGTTCCACAATGTCCCCTGAGCAAAGTCTGTTCATGCCAGCGGAAGGGATAACAAAGACATGGAAACCTGAGTGCCCCAGGGGATGCAGGATGAGCTTCTCTAGTCCACTGGTGTGTCTTTGCATGTAGGAACAATGCTGGGAGCCTCAGAAGTCTGCACGGCCCTGATTGCCAACCTTCATCTTAGGCATCATTGCAATGGCTGTTAAACAGTCCTCTGCTTTCTGGCCTTGGTTTTCCCAAGCTGGAACAAACGTGCCAAAAAAAAGAGGGCTGACCTGGCTGTGAACCTGCACGTGCGGCACCACTGGCACATGGTGGAGCGGAACAGAGCTGAGCAGCATCGCTCCTAGTCACTGAGAGAGGAGCCAGGTGCAAGGAAATCCTGGAGAAATGACAGTCTTGTGGGATTCACTGTGAACTCACTGGGGTCCTTCTCCATATGATTTCACCGTGTCCATGTCTGGATGCTTTTAATTCAAGTGCTACGCCTGGAAAGACATGCATAGAGCATCTCCGTGGCCAGAGGAGATGGGTCTGCCTGCCACGGGAAGGGGTATGAGGAGGGGCATGTGCCAGTCAGAGCTCACCTCCATCCCCACTGCAACAGGAGAGGGTGTTTTCCAGCAGCTGGTGGCTCGTGTGACACACCTCAGCCTGAGCTTGTTTTCGGGAACATGTTGTTTGCAGCTCCTGGGAATGGGGCACCATGTAAGGGGGCCTTGGGCTGGGCTCTCAGGATTAGCTCATCTCTTTTGAAACCTTAAACCAGATTTGTCCGCCCCGTCCATGCAGTGTTTCCTTCCCACGGTGCATGAGCGTCGGTCGCTGGGCGTCTCGCTCGGCGGGGGAATGGCAGGGCTCTGCGTGGCCGGGAGGTGATTCACCAGCCTGTGACACTGCAGTGGGAACCTGATTTTCCACAGGCATGTCCGGGCACAGGAGCCTTCTCCCAGGGCTTCTGCAAATGAACTTCCCTTCCCTGCGAGCAGATGCTGAGCCCTACAATTTGTGTGCTAAGGAATAGCCCGGCCCTTTTTGTTCTTCAGTTTCATACAAACCACAGGAGCTGCTGCTGCCAAGTTTGCGTGTGGGACAGGGAAGGGGAAGGCAGGGGCTGAGCCTGCCGGGATGGAGATCACCCGCAGCAGCAGGCTCTGGCTCACCGCTGGTGGGAAAAGGCTCTGGGCGAGGTGTCAGTCAGCAAGGGGGGAGCTGCTGGGGGGACAAGGTTCGTGCCGTGCCCGAGGAAGGCTGGAGGGGCTCTCTACAGCCACCGTGCGTGTTCTCTGCAGGGTGCTGCTGCGCTTCCCTAGGTAGGATTCAACCCCACAGGTGTTTCAGCCTCTTCCCATGGACACGGGGCTGTTCCCTTAGGGAGGACAAAGCACAGGGCACCTTTGGGAAGTCATCCCAGCTCTCTCCTGCAGCCCCTGTTCCAGCCAGAGCATCAAAGTCCATTTCTTACAGCAACGGGGGGAAAATGAGCGACAGAACTTCGCGTGAGCTTTCCCTCCCAAAGCCAGCCTCCCTGTACTGCTCAGCCCATAAATCACTTTTGGTGCAGGAGAAATACCACAGAAGCCTGCGTGTGCCCGCAGGCTGTTGCAGAGAGGCAGGTGGCCAGCACAAACCACCGACGCTCCACGCTTCCCTTATGGCAATTACAGCAACGGGGGGAAAATGAGCGACAGAACTTCGCGTGAGCTTTCCCTCCCAAAGCCAGCCTCCCTGTACTGCTCAGCCCATAAATCACTTTTGGTGCAGGAGAAATACCACAGAAGCCTGCGTGTGCCCGCAGGCTGTTGCAGAGAGGCAGGTGGCCAGCACAAACCACCGACGCTCCACGCTTCCCTTATGGCAAAGCCGTCACGTCGGCCGCGTTCCTCAGAGCCTGTGCAGTTGGGATAGCTTTGCAGTGAGGGCATGATGAGGAGTTTCTCCTACACACCTTGTTTTGCAGCCAGCAAACTTAGGCAGATGAATCCTGACTGATTGCACCTTTTGAGAGGACCTTTGGCTAAGTGACAAGGTTTCACTCCTGCTTTCTGAGCTTCCTCCATCGCTGGGGATGGGGGAGAGCAGTGTGAGGTGGGAACTTGGTTTCCTGAGTGCTCCTCAGATGCTGTGTTTGTCATCCCAGCCAGGAGCTGCTCCCAGGTACAGCCCTGTCTTTGTATGCTATTGCAGGGCATGGATTCCTCCTTGCAAGGCTGGAAGTCCCGATCCAGCAACTAAAACCTCGTTCAGGAATGTGTTTGCAAAAATTTCCCGGAGAGATTGGTCATGAAACTATGAGAAACTGTCAAAAACAGAACTAGAAGTGAAGGAGTGTTTTTCTGAGCTCAGGAGGGCACTTGTAAAGGACAAAGCTCATAGAAATGGCTCACACAGTCACGCTGGCTTCAGAGGCTTCTTTCCGGCAATAAAGCTGGTGGTAGGAGAGATCTGTGAGTGGGGAGGGATGAGGCTGAGTCAGCCTGCTGGAGACAAAGTTCTCCAACCCCTCTGGGAGTGGGGAGGTACCCAAGCCCTCACCCAGATGAGCAGCAGCTTGGGTGCCTCTCATCTGCTGCCAACCTGTCCTAGGCGATTCAGGCTCTGAGCTTTCCCCTTCCTCCTCCCCTCCTAAAGCCTCTTGGCTTCCCTGATGGGGAAGTCCCTGCGGAAGCGGAGTTTGACCGTCCGGGTGCCTGCAGAGGCTCCAGCCCTCGAGCAGGAGGGGGAGGCCCTGTTGTCCTCCCCTCTCTGTGCTCCTCAGCCTGCTTCTCTCTTTGACAGGGCGAGCTGCCACTCAACGCCATCCAAGTGCTTTTTGAAGAGAACGAGAAAACCTCCTTTTTAATAGAAGGTGCGTGTCCAGCATGCCAAGGGGTGTGCTGGCAGCAGCCACGGGGGTCTCGGGGGTCGGACTGGTTGTGCTAAGGTGCCGTGGCTGTCTTCCTGGCTGTGCTCGCCCATGTTGGCACCCAAGCTCTGTGAACTGAACTGCTTGGAAGTCTCAAACAGTTTGGCACAGGTCCCCCCTCGTTTAGATCTGGGCTGTGATTGCCCCTGTCCCGCGTTCAGCCCGGTGCAAATGGTGAGCGCCGAAGGCACAGCGTTCCCCTGTCCCTGCACTGGTGTCCTGGTCTCCAGGTCCCCGTGGGAGGGAAGGAGAGAGGGGACTCCCGTGGGTTTCTGAAGGCAGTGGCATGAACTGTCAATCAAAGCCCCTAAGAGCAGTGAGGGGTGTTTTTACAGGCCGGCTGATCAATTCAATCCGAGTGATCTGCCGCAGCTATGAGGATTACCAGGAGTGGCTCTACTGTCTCAAAACAGCCCAGTTTCGAAATGCCGACTCCTCCCTCTCCGGATCAGAGAGTTTCTCAGGATCAAAGCCGCCACACCTTGGCCAAGTAAGAGACATTGTGGGTTTGCGTGTAATCAATAAATGCCTCCCAGGACTCTCACCTGTCCTATCTCGGGCCACGTGTGAGTGCTCTTGTGACACAGCAGACTTTGCCTCAAGTCCCCTGCTTGAAGACTGTCGTGGAAGTGCTGATGCCTACACATTATTTCGAAGCCCTATTTTATGTTATGTAGGCACAAATTATACTGAATTCCTTCAAAAGCAGCCCCCTGCCTGTAGACTGTCACAGTGCTGTGCAGTGAGATGTTGCCACAAGGACATTAATGGGGAGGGGAGACCCGTCCTGCCAGCGCTGCAGCCGGGGTGGGCTCAGGGTGCCCGAGCATCCTTCTCCCTGCTGCAAGCTGGGTCTGGCTTCAGTGATGCTCAGGCAGGAGATGGGGCTGGGCAGGGATGTGCCTGTGGACGCAGTGAGAGCTGTTTCTCTGCACTGTTCTTCTTCCCCATCTAGTTTGGCGGCAGCGGGAGAGGGTCGCTCAGGTCTGACGGCCGCACAAACTCCTGGGCGTCGGGAGGCCGAGTGGCCACCTTGACCCACCTCTCCCAGCACAGCGGCTCTCTGCCCGACGGACAGTCCTTCGTGCTGATGCCTGAGAGCAGGGTGCTTGAAGACCCCCTCTCTCCTGGCTATTCCCAGCCTTTCCATGTAAGTGAACCCCTAAAAAGCCTGGGATGTGTGTGGGGACAGAGCGGGGCGGTCTCTCCAGGTGTCCAGACAGGCTGAGCTGGGGCGGACAGTGTTTGCTACACGGCACAGCAAATCCATGCTTGGAGCCTGTTTGTCCTGGCTCAAGCTTTGTCATTGATGATAAGAGGGAAAAAATGTCCAAAGAACCTCGTCTCAGCGCTCTGCTCTGTGTAGGGGTTGTGGGCACAGATTGCAGAAGGGCAAACGGGACGGTTCGAAGGTCATGAAACCCCAAAGCCAGCAGCCTGTAGGTGGGTGGAGGTGATGGGTTAAGCAGGCTTTTTGCTCTGTGCAGCGTTTGTGCATCCATCTGCCTTCTCGTTCCAGTGCCTGGCTCAGGCCAACTGGCCGAGTGCGGGGCTGCCAGCCCAGGACCTGCGGAGGGGAAGCAGTGCCAGGAAGCCCAAGGGCAAATGTGGACCCTGCAGCCAGCAGCTGCCCAGCCAAGACATGGAGAGAACCCTCTGCAGCCTCATTCCCGAAAACCCCAACGGCGAGCTCCTGTCCTCGGTGTACAACGAGCCGTACTCCGCGCGTGGCTGGCAGCATCACCCGGAGCTGAGCAGTGTAAGGGGGGCTGCGACGCCGTGGGGCTGTCCTCCTGCCTGGGGAAGGGTCGAGCAGCAGAGAACAGTTCATATTTTCCTTATGGTGTAGGGATATCTGTCCTGGCAGATGCTCTAGGGCAGGCGTGAAACCCGTTTCCACTTGAAAATGGCCTCTGGGAGGTGAGGTTAAACAGGGCAAGTGCAGCAACGTCTCTTGGAGCCCTGAGATGCTGGGCACGGATTCCTGAGGCCAGCACTTTGCAAGTAGGAGTGTTATTACAGGGCACAACCCCTTCTTCTGAGGGCTTTCCAGCATGTGCCCATCAAAGGTTTAGCGTGTGATGCCACGATTCCCTCCCTGCAATGAGCGTGTGTCTGCCTTATGCCCAGGGAAGTCCCCTTGTTAGCACAGACAGCTACAGCAGCACTTGGGATTTCTAATTACAGGGAGATTCCCAGCTCCCATCCCTCCTGGGGGTGAAATGCAAGTAGGGAACAGCGTGTGCTGTTCCTGTTTCAATTTCTGCCTTTCAGCTGAACAGATGGAGCTTGGTGGGAAGTCAGCCTTTGACAGCTCCCAGCTCCCTGGAGAAGCTGGCCGTGCCCTGCTCTCCTTCGTACACTTGACCACTCTACAGCCAGCTCCCCCAGCCCCCCCAGTTCTCCCCGCATGGGAGGCACCGGCTTCCTGGGAGAGGTACCTTGCGCCTTCTACAGCCCTGACTCAGCACACAGGCTTTTGGCTCCAGAAATCGCGCCTCGGGCCATTTCTTTTCCTGCTGTCTGCCTGAGCGGGCTGGGGAAGGTCTGCATTTCGGGGTGGGGCAGGGCACAGCATAGTTCTATTTTTTCAAGCCGGGACAGAGTCAGAGGGGAACAGGTTTCCCCTGTCTTATCAGTGGATGCCAGCATCGCAGCAGTCCCAGGAAGAGCCAGAAACCACAAAAAAAGGCAGAGACTGAGGTGTGATCAGAAACTGGCCATGAGTCAGGCACAGAGACCGCTTTATCCACCCCCTAAAATTCCCACTGTGATACCTGTGTGCCTGTTAAAAGCTACATTTCTGGTGTTGCACATCTCTTCAGAAAAGAATATTTTTGCGTCTGTCCCTTATGTTGCTGAAGCTCTCCCTCCACTTGGAGGGTTTGTCCTGATTTCTCTCTGTCCTTCCTCATCCCCTGAGCTGCCAGTGGGCTTCATCCCACTGCCTTTACCTCTGGCCAACTTCCACTACCTCTGTGGGTCGTTGCGAGGGACCCGCAGCCATTCTTCCTTTCCCATCTAAGGCCTTCAGGCTTGGAAGGTAATGGAATTTGCAAGGCAGGCAGAAAACCTTGTTTTGCCAAAGCCTGTTCATAGCAAGGCTGGCTTACAGGTGGGGAACCCCAGCTTTCCATGGCAGGTATCAAATCTAGAGTTTGTTTCGGTTAAGTTCCTGCAGTGTCACGGACAGACGGACTCAGCGCAGGCCAACGGGCACCCAACCATCCCGGTACCCCAGCACCTCTCTCTGCAGAAGAGGAGCTGCCAGCCCCTGCCCAGCAGTCACTACAGAGAGGTGCCCGCGGGTTACAGCGCGCCCGGCACCTCGTGCTGTCCCCAGCTGCGACCTCCTCCCGACGCTTCTTATCTTGAAGAGGTGAGTTTGGAAATGCAGTCCTTGCACCCCAAACTGTGCAGGCTCCACCCCAGGGTGCAGGAGTCCCAGCCTTGCCTTTCTCCAGGCGGGAAGAGTGGTGAGTCACTGCAGGGCTCTCTGGTGGGTGCATCTTGGGGAGCAGGGACGGCGGGACCAACAGAGGTGTGCAGTGTCCCAGGACTGCCGTGCTACATCCTCATCAGTGCATCTCTTTCTTTTCAGGTCTGTTCTCTGCGAGAGGAACATCTGGGCCCTTCCTTGCAGCCGTCAGGTGGGACTCTTGGGAGGCTGCTTGGGTGCTGCCGCCCACCCCTCCCCGCCTTGCCGGTGTCTGTCTCCATCATCGTTCAAAGCAGGGCTGGAGGGACCACAGGGACTTGTGCCTGCCCTTCCTTCCTCCTGCTTCCCTGCGGTGGGACCGAGCCTGTCACCCTGCCCCTTGGTTCCACTCCCTGCCCACTGGCTCGGGCCACCCGTCACCCTTCAGGGCTTGTGGTTTGTTTTGACGCTTACACCGCTTTGCCCCAATCTAGCTGCACGTGGGCCGCGATTTTGTGGGTCACCTCGTGCATACTCTCTGCTGGGCAAGGGGAAGGCAGCTGCTGGGCTGCTCCCGAGCTCTCTGAACGCTTTGGTCTGGTTTTCTGCAGATGGGGATGTGGACGCCTACGACCTGCCAGAGGCCGGCTGCCTGCACCTCGACTCGGCAGCCTACCACGACTACGCCGAGCTCCAGAGCTTCCAGAGCGACTTCAGCTATGACAACCTGTGGGAGGCTGAGGTGAAGGACCCAGGCACCCCACACACCTCCCCAGCACCCAGCCAGCAGTTTTACCAGGGCTGATGGAAAACCTCCACAGCCAGGCACAGAAAACCCCCCAGGCTCCTTTCTCACTGGTTTTCCCTCCAGGGTGAGCAGCCTGGGGTGTACAAAGCAAAGGGAAGGGCCTTGCTCTGGGAAAGGTTCCCATGTGCTGGCATGACCTGAGCTCAGACTTCTCCCCTAAATCTGAGGATGGAGGCAAAGCACAAAATCGACAGCCTCTGCAGACCCGGAGGGGCAGTGTGGGTTCTGTGCTCCGTGGCTGCTCTGGCTCGGGGAGCTCAGGCTGGGGAACAGCATTGCCCCCCTGAAAATAAAAAGAACAAAAGGCTGGTCAGGTTCCCTCAGATAAAAGGGACTGGGTGTTCAGATGGAGCAGTCACTCAAAAGCTAAAGAAAAAGGCCTGGTTGGTGGCAGGGTTAGTTTCATAATTTTCCATTTTACCAGAGCCCTCAGGCTGGTCACTTTGAGGATCCAGTGATCCCCCATAAGCCAAACCTTCCTCCATTGAGCTCTGAAGCCTGCAAAGATGCATGAGACATGCCCCATCATGGTATATGAGGTTGGTAGCAATACCTGTGCTCATACGATTGTCTTCCTGCAAGATCAGAGTTATCTGACAAGAGATGGAGAAAAAAATCCAAATCTGGGCGGAACGGGATGTTCTTCCCACCACATGTAAAAAATTCTTCCCTGCCACTGGTGGCTCCAGACCGTGGTGGTGACCTGCAATATTATGTGCCTGACACCATGGGAGCTGGAATCAAGAAATGTGCAGCCAGCAAATATGCCAAGTGGCTTGTGTTTACCAAGATCTTCCCTGGAAAGGATGCCCAAAAATTCCTCTTATGGGGCTGCATCCTTTCCTCCCACCCCTGTGCACATTCCTGGGCTCGCACTCAGTGCTGCCTGTGCCTATCTAGGCAGGGAGAGAAGGAAGAAAATTCACTCCAGTACGGCCACAGCACTCGAGTGAGCAGTGCAGGCTGCAGCCTCTCTCTTCCCCGAGTCCAGAGCAGCAGCAAGACCAGGACACAAACAAGAGGGGACAGAGTCTCGGCGCTATCGTTTTCCAGCCTCTTAGGCTAGATCCTTTAGCACATATGAGGTTAGCGGCAAATCCAAATATTTTTACCCGAGGCTCCAAATTCTTAACCTTTGTTCCCTAAAGAGGCTGCAAACCAAACATATTAACAAAATCTCTTGGTTTTCTTCTTTCACTGAGGCAAACAAGAGTCCGGGAGCTCTTTGTACTTGAATATCTATGTATTACATTGTTTGTGGGTTTTTTTCCAGAAAGTATCTGACAAAGTTTACATGTGAGGTTTGAGTGGGTTACATATATTTAACGTGTAAATGTGGCTGAGTTGAAGATTATTTAATTTTCTAGCTGCGGATGATGTTCAGTACTGTAGAATGGGCAGCTCTCTGCGCATTCGCGTGCGTGTGTTGGTTTGGGTCTTCTAGCTTTTATTGTTTTGTTTCAGGTTTACTTTCATTTTGGGAAGATTTGTATCTAATAACTCCAAAAGGTTCTATTTATTCAGAGCAGAATTGCACTAGGGAACACCAGAAACACATCGTACGTGGGGAGGTGGCCGTGCTCATGAGCTCCTGTGAACACGCTGACTTTGAAGATGGTCCCCGTGACCTTTTGAATTGGGTTTCCACAGTGGTATCTGCGACGTATCAAAAGGGAAAAGCCTCTCCCTATTGCTGTAAAAGTTCCCTGGTGGATTTTTGTGAGAGTGGACGACTGCAATACACGTTCTTCTGGAATACTGCTCTTCTCTCTTTCTTTGCCATCAGCTGGTTTAATGGAGATGAATTTTTGCTGCTGTCCTTTCCAAAGCCCTTCCTCCCTTGAGGACTTTGGGTCCAGGAGGATTTCCAGCATGCTGGCCGTCTCTGGTTCAGGTCAGGCACTTGCAAACACCTAATCCTAGAGCAAAGTCGCCCCTGCGTTTGTCAGGCAGTGAGACCGGGCTGGAGATTTAATGCCGAAGCTATTCAGACTTTGCTTCAGCCCCGTGTTCTGGGGGTCTCTGCAAAAATCAGTTGGTGATTCCAAATATCTCCGTGCACTTGTGCAGCTGGGAATGCCCATCCCGTGCCCAGACTGGGGATAGTCTGTGCTACTGCTCTCCAGCCTGGGGAAACCTGGCGGGACCGAGTGGGACACACTGGCCAGCCCTAGCTCCAGGGTCAGACAGGGAGCTCTCCCGAGCTGTGCTGTGTGATGGGTGACAGCTACACCTGCCGGTGCTGGGCCACCAGCAGCAAGGTGAGAGACCCTTGTTTCAAAACGCTGCAGAGACGTGAGGGTTTCTAAAGGAATTTCAGTCCCACTCCCAGAGTGGCAGCTTTCCTCCCTGGCTACATCTGGGCTAAATTTGTCACACTTTCAAAGGCTGCCCTTTCAACACGCAGGCTGCTCATTTCTCACGCTTCCAGCACGCCTTTGTGCGCAGCTGCCGCGGTCTGTTTGGCTCTTATTTCGGGTCCTGAACTCCATCCGTGCGTCTGTGCCTGAGTTACTCCCTCGTTCCTGGGGCAGAGCGTAGCTGCTTCCAGCTGCTGCCCGGCGCGGGACGTAGCGTTTTGGGACGAAATGTGAGCCTGCCTTTAGCAAGTGGGCACTGTCAGGGGCTTACACCCACAGAGAGTGGGCTTGTGGGTGTAAACGGGACCCAGGTGTCCCCTCCCTGAATGCTGCTGGGTTTAGCTCCCCTAGAAGAAGCACTTCTTCCTGCTCTCCCTCTACCCATCCCTACTTTAGAAGGTTGTACAGCTTTGCTAGGCTGGTGTAATTAATGCAGAGCGATTCACGTGTGTGTACAAGCCCTGCGATGTTTCCAAACCAGCCCCCATCAGCATCAGATTGGTCAAGACCCACACCCAAGCTCCTCAGCACAGCCTGGTTTCCCAGGTTTACTGGCCATTGGTTTTGTTACCCAGATGCCGACCTGGGTGGCTCTGTTGCAGGTGGTAACAGGGCTGTGTTTGTGAGATATATCCATGGACACCTGCCTTGCGACCATGAAAACCCCCACTGTCTTGCTTTTCCTCCACCACGTTTCTCAGCAGAGTCAGGGTTTAAAAATAGAGGGTTTACTTAAAGTGGCATTGAACATCTCAGGGCAGGTTGCATTAAAATGGAAGTTGTAGTACCTGTAAACACACAAAATACCTCTCATCTCCTAAAAAAAAAGAAAAGATATTCATCCTTCACAGCCTGGCTGCCCCAGAAATAGGGTCTGAACCAGGGCACCCACAAAGTGCAGCCCCAGCGCTCTGCCAGCAAGCCCATGCACATCCCGCCGCCCGGCTGGGTCACAGGATAGCTACGTCTTTATTCCCAGAGGCAGATGAAAGGCATGAGATGACACTAGCTGCCAACAATTCACTCTCTGACAAATGATCTCTCCACCCCCCCCAACTCCCTCCAAGTGCTGAAAGTCCTAAATCAGGTGCCCCCGCTTCTGAAACCGTAGCTGGAATACCTGAGCAGTGATTGAAGCCCTGCGGGCTGCTGGATTTCTCTCTGCTTTCTGATTTTTCTGAGCCACGTTTTCAAACTTCTTTTGCTCACAGAATAAACAGCAGAAAGTCGTGATTATTTTTTTTTAAAAAAAAAAAAAGAAAAAAAGAGGAAGAAAGTGAAGCTCCTTTGGCTTAGGGAATTTGGAGGAAAAGCCCCTATAGCCACAGCAGAGCAGCCCACCCGCCTGGCTCCCACTCCTTCGCCGTGCAAATCTTTTTGTTGTAGTTTCAAAGACACTTGAGGTTTGGGAATTCCTTGGTGAGCACTTTGTATGAACGTGTCTCACCCCACCCACTGCCCAAAACCAGGGCTGAGGTGGGGGAACCCGCTGCCTGTTCCTGCTTCGTAAACCCAGCACCTGCCTTGCAGAGCCCTCCGCGGAGCTGAGGCTGTGCAGGATTTGCTCTAGGCTGTGATGAGCAACTCCCTCACTGCCCTGTGGGTGGGGGAATCAGCCAAAATATGTCATATTCTCACGGCCGGCCGAGCAGACTGAAGCAACTGGCATTTCTGTCATCTTAGATCAGAGGGAGGTCACCGCTCTCTCCGCTCTGCCCTGGCACCCCAGCCCTCCAAGATCTCTCTGGAGGGAAAAGTGAGGACTCAGAAATGGCCCAGCAGAAATATCCACGGGGGAGCTGTGCTCTGGTTTTATTGCGAGGAGACGAAGCAAAAATAAGAGCAAAGAAGCCACCTCAGCAAAACCAATTGATGCAGCGGCTGGGGTGGGGGGGAGGCGCAGTCCTCGTCCAGACTGGGGTGGCACTTGACGTATCGAGCCCAGATGAAACGTGGAGGCACTTCTTGAGGGTGCACCTGCCTGACTTTTTCATCTGCTTGGCAAGGCAAGGTGTCAGATGTGGGAGCTACGTGCGAGGCAATCGAGCGGGGCGGGATGGCACAGCTCCCAGCTCCAGCGCTGACGCTCTCCTTGGGGAGGGGAAAGGAGCCCCACGGCAGCAGGGATGCACGGAAAAGGTCATTTCTATTGTAGTGGCTGCTGCTATTGCAAAAGATGGTGAGGTCCTGGCTCCTCCCTCCGGGGTGAGACACAGGCAAGATGACCTCGCCATGGAGGGTGAGGAGAGAGCTTAAAAGGTCAGGGAATAAACCAAGCATTAAAGTTGGAGGCAAGTCCAGGCTGGTTCCCTTGAAGGACACTAGAGACACCACTGCTTGACTGAGCACAGTAGACACTCCCAGAGCTGATCTCCTGATACCAGCAAGATCTTTCAATATTTCCTTTTGCTCCTGCAGCGGGCTGAAAACATCTATCTTCTGAAATATTTATCCCATCCACTTCTTCCAGTAAAGATCAAAAGGAATGCAAAGTGTGTGTACAACCTGACGGACCATCTGGCTCCTCTGGTAACTTTTAACAAGGGGAGGTGCCAAACCACATTTGCGTCGCCAAGCCCAGGATCAGACGCAACTATCAGAAATAGGCAAAGGACAGTCGCTGGCAAAGGTGACAGGCACCTCGTGTCACTTAGAGCATAACATGAGAGCTGAACTCTCCTGGGAAGAAACTTAGCACGAGGTTTTGGACTCTAGGATAGAGGCATCGAAGGAGTGAGACACCCGCTGTGTCCCTCGGGGTGGGAAAACAGGTGCTCGGTGCCACCGTGCCTTTGCCAGCTCGAGCAGGAGAGGGAGGGCCAGGAGGCCACTTGTCCCACCTAGAGAGCCGTGGTTTGGCTGCTCATGGCTTGCCTATGGACCAGGGCATTACCTACCGTTCCTGCTTCTTGCAACATCTAGGCCTGATTCTTTTCTGGGTTGTACCTGGTATTACTACTTGCAGCCAAAGCAGCCTCCCATCAGCGCCACGCCTGCCCTGTGCAGTTCAGGAAAGCTGAGGGTTGTCTCTGGCTGTAACCTGGACACAAGCAGCAGAACAAGCTTCCCAAAGCGTGCACAGAACCGTCCAGCAATGGTGACAGGAGAGGACATGCAAGTCTCTTCTGGGCAGGGCTCTCTGGATCAGGCTCTTAATGACATGCGACAGCCAAGAGGTGTCTCAGAGGGGTAGGCATGGGGAGAAGCAGCCCATCTCCCTGCATACTGGGCCCCTCAACCAGCACATCAACTCCTACAGTTCTCTATCAACAGACACATAGTAGATTAACCTCTTATTCTTTAAAAATCAGTACTCATTCGACAGTTTTGCACACGAACAGCGTAGACACAGGAGTGTACACAAAAGCATTAAATGAGATAGATCTTTATTAGAAGCTTCTAGCATTTTTTATCTGTTCTCCTCCTCCACAAGACTCCTCTTACTGTATATACAGCTACTATAGTCCATACAGAGCCTGTACATCTCTCTCTCTCGCTATTTACTGCGACGTATCTCACTGTACAATTGTACAGTGTGCTCCTTTCTCTGCAATAATACAGGGTCTTAAGTACAAATCCCCACATATTAAAATTGCATGGCACTCTGCACTATAAGGAAAGAGCTAAACCTCTTCTCTCTCATTTCATAAGACAACCATTGCCACAGACTGTTCCTATAAAGCTCATAGGCAGATCCACACAGGTATTCTGGGCAGCTTTCCCCCAGTACCTTTGTGGATCTGGTCCCTAAGTGCTTGACACCTCTCACATTCGTGCTTTTGTTAGACCTAGGAGTAAAGAAAACCCTCCTGAGTAATGCCCTTGAGTGATCAGGAGGGCAACAGAGACAGGGAAGAACCTGAACCACTTCCTTTTCCTTTCTCACCCCATTTTCCATTCTGCGTCCTCTCCGGCCCCACAAGGTTACACGCTCAGCCACGGCACCTCCTCACTCGACGTCTCCTCCCACCTGACTGTATGTCTCCAGGATGGGAGGCAGTGGAGGGACCAAGTCATATGTCTAGACCCTTCATCTGGTGATCGTCAGAGCCAAACACGTTCACGTACCTTTTCCTCTTCCCCAAAATGCTCCTGTCCATGTCAGGGCTCTTTCCTGAGGCTTCCCTGAGCTCATCTCCTTTCCCTGCTGTCTCTACAGCCCTTTTCCCTCCTGCACAACCTTTCCTGGCCGCCCCTTCCCTTGCTCTGGATGGGTGACACTCGCCCATCCTCCTCCTATGATCGTGAGATGTCCTTGCAGTGGGTGCTCCTCACCCGCAGGGACGAACACCACATCGTGGCTCTGGCTCGGCAGGGCTGAGGCAGCCTCATGCAGCAGAAACCCTATCTCAGCCTCCTGAACCATTAAACCAAGCCGTGACTTCTTGGAATGAAATCCAAGAGGATGAGTCCTCCTGCAGTGAGCCAAGCTGGTCATGGGAGACCTGGGACTTGCCAAGCAAGTGGCCCCTCCATCCCCCTTTAGCTGCTGCCCAGCTAGCCACACACAGCCAGCACACGCTTAGCAGAGCACCATGTTTGGACAGAGACAGCTCTTCCCCAAAGCTCTCTCCTCTCCTCCCTTCCATACAGACCAACCCTTCTGTAGGAACGAAGCACTTTCCTGGTTTCTTTTGCTCTCTCCTCCCTCCACCACCTCAGTGCCTTCCTTTGCCACCAGTGGACTTCAGGAGGGAGGACGGACAAGCAGCGCCCTGGAACAGACACTGTGACTACTCCTAGGAGACAGCACAAGTATGCAAGAAGTGCGCAAAAAAAGAACAGAGCCAGCCCACGCCGGGCTCCTCTTCTGTCCAGTACACGTACAAACTGCCTACCGTGTCATAAAGGACTGTCACTGGAAGGATCCTGCTTCCTGTGACGTCCTGTCCTGTTTAGAGATGGGTCCAGAGAAATCTTGGTGCTGGGATCCAGGCTTCTCACACTGCCCAAGAAGAAAGTCCCTGGCTTCTGCCTCCACCGTCCTCGCGAAGCAGCTCCAGTGTGTGCCGAGAGACTAGGTCCGGGGGTATCCTTCTCTGACCTGCCTTCGGAAGTAGCGGATGGCAGAAAGTGTGCCAAAACTTGCCAGGAACACTGGAAAAGAGCCCAACATATTTTCAAAGTGAGCCTAGGTGCTTCTTCCAGACCTGAAGAGCTTTTTCCAGACTTGAAGACCACAAGCTACTTGCCTCACTCTGGTCTTTGGGACCTAGGGGGTTGCTCCCCTCCCTTTCTCAGACCCCTTCTGCTTTTGCTCCTCATCCTCACCACGCTGTGCTCGTTCCCAGTGCATTCAGTCCTCAGCTGCCCACAGACTGGCTGACCACATCTAGTCCTATGGTTTGGGCATGTGGATAACACCACAATTTCACAAGAAATGGTTGTTTTTAAGGGAAACATAGCATAGACTTCACACATGTGGTAGAGATGGGTGGGGGTGATATCTTGGATGAGAGGGCCACAGCGGGAAATCTCACCAAGACTTCAGGATAGTCCTTTCATTTTCTACTTCTCTTTGGACCAGGAAGATGCCAAGAAAAATATCGTTTGTTGGGTTATCTGTGGATACTCTGATGCCGGACAAAAGCAGAAAATACTCAAAACTCGGAATCAGAAAATGTAGAGATACAAAAAATAACTAATGGAGATTAGCTTGGTTTTAATTCAAACTCACGTTCAATTTACATGTCCAAGCCTAGGTCACAGGCAGGAAACTTCAACTTGTTCGAACCTAACACGCCCAAAGAGAATTGCTAGTCCAAGGTGTCAAACCATCTCTTTCCTTACCGGGGTGCTTACTGCAGGCTGGGTTATGCAATCCTGAAGGGCACGAGGCCCATATCCCGCTTTTCGCACCCTCCCTGAGGCCGCATCAACCACCTAATACTGAGAAGGCAAGGAGGAGCAGGCCAAATGCTCCTTGTGATGCTTGCACTGAGCAACTTTAGCTAATGAGCTATTCTCAGCCCGGGGTGTCAGCTTCCTGTATGACCTTAGTGGGGAACATTCCTCCCCGGGACAAGCAGCAGGAAGCCCTCACCCCGGCGTCTGGCTCCATGGCAGGGGATCTCCAGTATTTAGAAAAAATATATACCTTTACGGCACGTTAGAATGCATTTGTTCCTAAAAAATATAAACCTGCATGCTCGAGGTCCTGATTCAGCTTCTAGCCAGCCAGGATCCTAAAGAAGCCTCCCTTTCCCTGGCACGCTGGTCCCTAGCAGAGGCTGGATGGTGCAGAGCCAAAGCCAGGGATGCAGACTCTTTGTGTGGGGAAGGGGCAACTTCAGTGAGTAGAAGGAGAAACAGTATTAGAAAGTAACAGGACGCTTTGAAAAATCAGGAGAATGACTGCATTTTCCCACAGGTGCGATAGCAGCCCTGCCTTTCTCCCCACCACGTCTTCCATGAGGTCCTTCCCACCCCTCCCAGCTGGGCACCACACATACTGGTCTTCCAGGCATCTGGAGCCTGCAGGTCGGACGTCTTCACCGCCCAGGACGCAAAGGCACAGAAGACGAGGCACATGTCTTTGTGGGTCAGTGTCAGCGGAGCCTCGGGCCCCCCTGCGAGAAGAAGAACACAAGGTTTGGGGTTTTACGATGCCTCCACTTGCCACTCCCAGAAAAATACATCTTTGCCACACTTTTTCTAGCCCAGAAGGCTTTTTTTCACCATTGGTCAAGTCAAACATGTCTATTTGGGACTTGGGTAGGTTTCCTAAGGAGAGGGGCATGTTTTTCACCCCTCTCAGTTTTACTCTTTGTTAAGAGCCCAAGGCAAATATTTAATGCCACCCATGGGCCTGGGAGGCACAGCCAGAGGACACACTTCCACGGGGCCTTCTGACTGCCTCACCACCTCCCTGCACGTCTTCTCAGTGCATCCCTCTCCTGGAAGCAGGTCTGGGGAATAAATTTAGAAGAAAGCAGTTCCTGGGGTGGCTGCCAATACATGGAGGCTGCGGGCAAGGTCCCTCTGGGCAAGGTCTCCTGCCTACAAGACAGTCTCCCGAGGGACATGCAGCTCCAGAACAACACACAGGCTCCCGAGCAGCAGCCGTGCTCAGCACCTCCCCACGGATCCCACCTCACTCCCACCTCCTCCTAGGTCCAGGAAGCGGGGACAGCCCTGAGTGCTCTTGCATTTCTTTCCCTGCTGAAGTCCCAGCGTGGCACAACTTGAAGTTGCGTTGCAAGGATAGGTTATTTTTGCTCCTGTGTTTATTTGATCAGGCTTTTAATTAAAGCTGGCTTGTTAATTAGCTACGACCATCGCAAAGGGGCTTCTCTCTGTGCAAACAGACTGGGAGCTCTATTTTGAGGCACCATTTGGGATGACTCGCTCATTGTTTGGTTTTAGTATTAACTACGAGGCACTGTGGCTGTAAGCATCATATAAGCTTTAAGACAAATATGTGGGCTGTCCTAGTGGGTCAGACTCACTCTGTCTTTACTTCTGTTTCTCTTACCTGCCTCCAGTAACGGCCAATGTTCAGGTCACCTCTGAGGCCTCTGGAGGGTGTTATTCAAATTAGTGTGTGTTTTAAAGTCCCCCTCACCTCTTTCAGCTGGAAGTCTTGGACATGTTCCACTCCATGCACACCTTTTCCCCTACCAATATTAGATTAATTTACAGCCCAGCCTTAACAAGACAGAAGCTCAGCAGCCATTGCCTCATCTCAGGGGCAAGAGCGCTTTGGTGCAGAAGGATTTTGCTAGCTCTGCCTGCCATTCCCTGATCAGAAACACAGGTCTGTGGTTCAGC